GTAACTTCTGCCAGCGATTTCCCTGTGGAATAAAGAGTATGTCCCAAAGAAACAACTACCTCATTCATGTAAACAGGAAAAGAGACAGGGCAACAGCCGTAGTCATAGCCTGTCCCCTGTGCCTGATTTTCGATACTCTACCCTTACAAGAGAGCTGGGGGTTGGTAACAATGTGTTACACAGTCCGGGCAGGCTCTTTGTCCGGATTTGATTTTGAGCTGCCCTTTGGCTGGAAACATTTGTACGTAGGACAAGACAAAAAGTTAAAACGAATCGTTCGCTCCTTGAAGCGATCAGCTGAAAGGGCCAGAGTTTGCTTCGGGGAGCAGCCCGCCTATCGCGCCGTGAACTGTGCAAAAACTCCATCGCTTGCTTTGTGTTTCCCCCTACCCCTTGGAGAAGGGAGCCCATCTCGGAAGGTGTGGGGTGTGCAGAGGGCAGACTGTTGATCTGCTGACTTTCGATTCCAGTTTTCAGGTCTCCCTTCCCCGCTTTAAGGGTCCCCATTACAGACAAAGGTCTGCATCCCAAACAGGCGAAAGGATTATCACCAGGTGCTGGTAAATTCGAACCCCGGGGTCTTCTTCCAGCCAGAAATGTCAGATGGGCTCGTACGTTCCTGCTTGCACCTCGGAGCTTGCCTCTGTGATGGTTTTACTCCCCTGTGAAAGAGGATGTGGCACCCAGTGCTTTCAGCCAGGAGCCCTGAATTCTGACTGTCAGATGAGTCAGGCTCAAGTCACTTACTCTCTTCAGCTGCAAAATAGGAGCTTTCCTGCCTTCCAGAGGCGATCGTTAGGTTACAGGGTGCTGGAAATGTGCAACGTACCTTTCCATATGAACCCCGTCTGCAAAACCAAGACGAGGCCACTGCAGCAAGTGGGACTAACCCCTGAGTAAGAATTATCCCAGGAGTAAGACATTGCAATACTGGATCGCTCCTTATTGTTTCTCATGAATTTTGTGATTGTTTTTTGGCGTCTTAAACGCCCATCATGCCTGTGCCATATTCACAGCTGAATGCATTGACCCGGAATTATTAGGCTTATTATTAACTCGCCGCTGTTGTGTTGCAGCAAGTGGGACTAACCCCTGAGTAAGAATTATCCCAGGAGTAAGACATTGCAATACTGGATCGCTCCTTATTGTTTCTCATGAATTTTGTGATTGTTTTTTGGCGTCTTAAACGCCCATCATGCCTGTGCCATATTCACAGCTGAATGCATTGACCCGGAATTATTAGGCTTATTATTAACTCGCCGCTGTTGTGTGACTTGCGTGCCACGACGCTGGACTCCTGCAGCTCAAGGGGAAACTCCACCCGTCTCCAACTCCGATGTGTTACTAAGATGTGATTGCTCCTTACACTGGACAGGCGATTTACCTGCTGGCTGCTCTTCAGACTCTAGCAGATCCCTCGGCTTTGCCACCCTCTAGAGTCACACGCACAAGCCGGAGCGGGGTTGTTGTAGGAAGATTAAAATCCAGCGCATGATGTTCTTACCTGTGGTTCTGTGGGCTGCCTCTTGAGCTAAGATCAGCACCAAGCCAGCGGCCAGCGTTGTTACCTGCTTGATTTCACTCTAAGCCTAAGGGGGAAACCACACACACACCGCCGCCCCACTCCACCCCTGGGCTGGTTAGACCCCAAACTACTGGCCTCTTTCACTGACGCCCGGTACTTTGGCCCAAGTGTGAGATGTTGTTTTACATCAGATCTCCCTCCGAGCTGGGTTGGGGGGTTGACCACTCCTGACCTTCAGCGCGGCAGATTGTGTAACGAGGAATGTGAGAGGGGGGGCTCGCTTCGCTCAAAAACTGCTCCTCGGTGCCGCTCTTCAAAGGCAGGAACCGGGCGGCGTGATTTGAAAGGGGTCCGCCTGACATTTGAAGGGAGAGATTAATGGCTGGGCGCGGATCACACTGGGCATCCCGACGCCTCACCGACAGAACGAAACCGCGTCTGTGTTGGGGAGCGATCGCAGCTAGTAGGCAACCACGCGCCTATTTGCTTCTCTGGTCAGTCAGCCCCGGCCAGTGCTTCCCAGGTGTTTGTCAAGAGCTGGGACCTTGAGGGACCTTGTGCCTTCCCCAGCCTGCCTAAGTCTCTCTCCTTTGGGGCTGCCTGGCTGCGCTTCACTCCTTTGCTCTGTGGCGCCTTTAGGGTAGATCTACACCACAGAGACGATTGAAGCTGTTGCTGTGCATCTTCCAGGGTTTGAATTAGCTGTTCTAGTGAAGACACCCTCATTCGAACTGAGAAGGGCACACCCTGATGTGGGTAGCTCTGCTCTCACAGGTATGGCTACACAGTAACCTTATTTTGGAATAACTGGTGCTATTTTGAAATAACAAAATATGTGTATACACAGGAAGCCACTACTTCAAAATAAGCTGGACTTCTTACTCCAACGCCTCTAACCCTCCTTTTATGAGGAGTAAGGGAACTCCAAAGGAGAATGTTCTTCCTTTGACTTCCTCCTGTGCAGACAGCCCAAAAGGTGAATCAAGCTCTATTTCAACTTCAGTTGGGAATCTTAATTCAACCTTATCCTGTAGTGTAGACCTACCCTATGTGGCCGCATTTAGGTACCGATTAGCCCAAGGTTTGTGCAGCCTGGGGTGGCTGAGACATGCCCAGCCCTGATGGAGTTAGGTGGCTCTGATCTATCTTCTGCTCCTGGAAGTAAGGGAGCAGGTTCTGCTCCTGGAGACTCTGGCGCTGGAAGTAAGGGAACCGGGAACTCTGCAGCATCCCTGGCTTCACGTGGTTTGCCCCATACGTTTGGTTCAACACCCACCCGCGCTATACAAATTACTCCAGCGCAGCGGCCCTGCCTGGAGATCGCGCTTGGGTTTGCCAGTTGGCATGATCGCAGCGCCACGAGTCCAGACCCCCGCTGGGCAGGAACAAACAGTGTTTCCAGGTGCAGTAGCTTGATTGGGATGTGCCACAGAAAGTACCCAGAGGCTTTCATCGCAGTTTTGGCAAGCTCCTTTCCTTGTCCACCCCCCTGCCCAAGCTTCAGGTCGCTCTCGCGGTCCCGTACAGGAGGGGAAACGTGCCCACAAACCCGCCAGCTAACTAGCCACGACATTCCTTAAGGTTGCCCCGCTGGCAGCCCAGTCCGTTTGGGGATGATGGCGGTGTTCGGGAGGGAGCGAGTTAAAAGGGACATTAACAATGAAAAGTCCCTGCTAGCAGATCACTTAAAGCAATACTCCCTGGCTCTGTGAGCGCCAGCCCTGAATTATTAATAGTATTTCATGTAACATCAATGTGCCTTCTTGAAGATTAGAGGTTTATTAAGCCTGGCGACAAGTTTTAACCCATTATCCATTCTCCCAGTAGAGGTCCTTCTATCCGAGTGAAATGCAGAACCCCGCTTTGGAAACCAGACCGCAGGGATTGGGTAAAGGGAGTTTAAACGTGAAAAGAAAACAGAAATGCACTGAAACGTCTACTGACTGATAAGTCTTATGAACTCCAAGATCACGGTAACAGGTTTCTGTGGGATGGTTCCCTCTCTTCCCACAAACAAATGGATACTTCGACTTGCAAATTCATCAGACAAAAAAGATTTTTAAGAATCCCCTTTTTAATATTTGTTTACCTTTTTCGTGCGAAGATTTTTCCAAGTTGCAGGTTAAAAAAGAAGGCAGAAATAATGGGGCTGTGAACTGTGGTTGTTCAGCCCTGTGATTATTTAAGCAGCTTTATAAAGGGCAAAAACCCCCCCCCCCCCCCTGGAGAGAAGATTTTAAAAGATCAAAAGAAAGCCACACGTTTGCAGCTGGTCACAGAAAGGGTTGATACATTCTGGTGATAGTTTGCCATCATGAATTGCTCAAGAGACACCGTGACTGAAAGCTGTAATACAGACTATAAACATTTCTCCAAGAAAAAATAATTCAATAGGCTTTTCAGTGCAATAATCTGCCCATAAAAAATATGCGCTAAATAGTGGCGCATAGCACTGTCTCCATCGGTATTTCTACAACTAATACAATTAAATAACTACATGTTAAAAAGGGAATGAAAAATCAGTCTTTCATTCAGAAATGTGTTATAAAAAGGGGAAGAGTAACGGATCAGTTCGGGTTAGCAACACTTTTCGTTAGTTTCTTATGATAATAATTGATTTGAGAAATAAACTAAATTTGAAATATTTTGTTGTGCAGAATGGTACGAAATTAGTGGTGTAATGTACCAATCTATTTAAAATATTTCTTCAGCTCCTGCCAGTTTCAAGATTAAGATCCCAGCTAAATTATGCCTTTCTTTTCTCTCCAATAAATACATTAATAAGGTTCAGCTATAGATGTCACATGTAGACGTGGGCACTTTTCTTGCACCTCCACATAAGTTTGAAGCGTAAATAAAGCATCTTGGCAAATAGGGACTAACAAGATATAAAAAACACAGTCTGGTTTTTGTTTCAGGGGCACCAGACTAACACGGCTACATTTCTACCACTATTTAACAAGATATAGTGACGCGTCACTGAAATACGCCCCAAGTAATTCGTGAGCTAAGATTTAACATACTTGAGGGAGTTTGTCTGAGTTAAGCGCAAGGCGACAAATACTTCATCACAGGGGGAGAGATTTTAGTAATTACCACGGAAGGAGAAAGTGTCCTTCGGAAAGGAGCGCGGGCTGGGGGCCTGTCTGCCCTTCCGCTCTCTCAGACAGGCAGTAATCATCTCTGGCTCGGAGAGCGCTGAGCTAGGAGGGCATCTCGGACCAGGTAAGCCGGGAGGGAACAGCTACTTCTCGCCACGGGGAAACCTGAATCAGAAAGAATCTTCGTGCGGCGCGCGGCGTTCCGCGTTCCATTGTTCACTCCCGGCCAATACGTTCGCTCCCTCTCCCTCGCTTCCAATCGCCTCTGGGGGTTGCTCCGGCGGCCTGGTGAAGTCACTGCTCCACCCCCTCCCTTCAGCCTTGGGCTGATGCGTGCTGACGTCATGCTGCGTATGGGACAGGGCAGTCTCCACTTTCTAACTCCTCCAGGCTGGAGGAGTTAGTTAGCAAACAGCAAGCGTTAGGCAGGCATCCTGCTCCTTCTGCATCATAACACGTTGCACACATCTCTTTCTGCATGGTGGATATTATTTTTCATTATCCTTTTCTGGGTGCTATGGGGGATCATTCAAAGAGTAAGTTGATCTTTGGTCTGAATAGTAATTTTAAATATTTTACTTGAAACGTTAAACTGGTTCTACAAGTGGTTTATTTACAGAGATAGTTTTAGAGAACATTCTTAAAATCGTGCCTTTTTAAAAGCCAGGATTATTTTTGCTCTTTCGCAATCCATTGCCTTTTCTTATTTTTTAAATTAAAGCTATTTTATCTTGCTGTGTCATGCTTTCAGGCTGCAGAATTCGTTGTTTCTTTTTTATGTTTAAAGAATAAATATTTTCTTGGGGTTTGCTCTTTGCATGTCTGTTATTTTAATAGCTACAAATTAGTAATTAATTATTACTATATAAAATAAGAAAAATTAAAAGAGGGAAAAAGCCTAATTTTTTAAAAAGGTATAACAAATACAGATGAAATAATCAGCTGACAGAGTTCATCTGGTTTTCCATTGTGTTTTAATAAGTACCCGTTCTATATTTTCCAATCTTTATCATTGTAGTTACACCTACCAATTGCTCCTGTAAAATCTTGCAGTTCAGGTGACTGTAAAATTAACTATATGGAGAATAGCTGCTGCAGTTTATCAATTTCACCTTTTCTTTCTTTTCATTGCCTGAACATTACTAGAGAATGTCTCCTAATTACGAATGCCTCTGTGATTGCAGTCCTTCGAGACAGTTCTGATTAGAAATGATATGCCTCCAGTATACGTTCTAAATTTCCTCTGCTCATTTCTACTGGTAGAAAAGCCCGGAATTGCCATGTGTGTGGGCTGTGGGAGTCAGATCCATGACCAGTACATCCTGAAGGTCTCCCCGGACCTCGAGTGGCATGCAGCATGTCTCAAATGCGCTGAATGCAGCCAGTACTTGGATGAAACCTGCACTTGTTTTGTGAGAGATGGCAAGACATACTGTAAAAGGGATTATATCAGGTGATTCAAAAGCTCTTTATCCATTAAAAAAATTTTTCTTCGACCCATTTCTTAAGAGTTAATTTCAAAGAGCTCCCCATCTGTGAAATCGTATCTCCTCCGGCTTGCTAAAGGAGGGAGTCAGTACTTCTGTGATAATGACAAATGCTATTCCTGTTTATTCGGCTTCGGAGACAGGAAGTTATTAACAATTGATACAACCAATCATATTAATAAATAATAATAATAATAATTAATAATAAATCACCGCCTGTCGGCAAGCAATAAACAGGATTGATCTGCACACTCCCTAATGCCTGTTTTAGAACAATGTGGACAAGGCAAAATTTCTTATTGAGCCCGATCCCTCTTCTCGAATTGGATCAGACTTGTTAGGAAGAGAGCAGAGGGGACCCTCTGGGTTTCTCAGCCGGAGTGGTTAGTTCCTGGGGAGGGTGAGCTGGCAACAGTGGGGTGAGGGTCTAGCTTCATGGCCCTTTCTCTTCCTGCAGGTTATTCGGCATAAAGTGTGCGAAGTGCAAGGTGGGATTCAGCAGCAGTGATTTGGTGATGCGAGCCCGGGAAAATGTGTATCACATCGAATGTTTCCGCTGCTCAGTCTGCAGCCGCCAGCTTCTGCCCGGGGATGAGTTCTCTCTACGGGACCACGAGCTGCTCTGCCGGGCCGACCACAGCCTGCTGCTGGATAGGAGCTCGACTGACAGTCCGAGGAGCCCCGGCCATTTACAGAGCACCAGAGGCCTGCATCTATCAGGTAAGGAGCAACAGACCTGCCGGGCGCTGGGGGTGTGAGACCATCGCCTCGTCCCCGGGCCAAGCTGTCCCGCACTGTACAAACCTATGTAGCTGTGGCTGCGAGGTGGCTGTATTGAAAGGTGCATGGACAATTTTCTGTCTAATTCGGTCTCTGTCTGTTAACGCTGCGGAGACGTTTGCATCTTTAGTTGTCCCTCTGAAATGGCGGTAGAAAATACATCAGTTATCTCCTTCCACGGCCTGCTGAGGCCTATGGGCTTTGGCCAGAGACTCCGCAGTGCTGAGGTGCTTGCTCCCTCCTGGAATCGCCCCCCCTTCTCCATTTAGGCCTCTTTCTTCTGCGGCTGGGGAGTGGGAAGGACTGGATGTTACAGGCCACTAGCCAAGGCAATGTGAGCTTGTGTGCACACTCAGGAGAGGGAGACTGGGCGAGATGCCGGAGTGGCTGGGGAGGGAATGGAAGGAGCTGCAGGCTGGGAGATCGTTATACAGTCCTGGCGGCTGAATATTGCTACCTGTAGCTGCAGCCAATCCCAGCCAGCGCCCCTGGGATGGATTGGGCCGCGAGGAAGGAAGGCAGCAGGGAAGGGGAGAGGGACTGGGACAGCCCTGGCTGCCCAGGAGAGAAGGAGGGAAAAGCTCGAGGAAGGTGGCAGAGCCTGCCGGCCACCCAGCTTGTTCTAGACACCAGAGAGACGCCAAGGGACAAAAGAAGCGACCCCCCCCGCCAATCCCAGCCAGCGCCCCTGGGATGGATTGGGCCGCGAGGAAGGAAGGCAGCAGGGAAGGGGAGAGGGACTGGGACAGCCCTGGCTGCCCAGGAGAGAAGGAGGGAAAAGCTCGAGGAAGGTGGCAGAGCCTGCCGGCCACCCAGCTTGTTCTAGACACCAGAGAGACGCCAAGGGACAAAAGAAGCGACCCCCCCCCCCCCGGGTTGGGAGAGGCTGGTCTCCAGCTGCCTGCAGTGCTCCAGGAGGCCCGGCAGGGAATTTCAGCCCCACAGGACTGGAGGCTTCAGAGATGGCTTGTCTGGGGCGGGCCTTCATCCTTCAGCGAGCGCCCAGGGGCGAGCCCTGCTCATCCCAGCGCCGGATGCTGGCGCTCTGGGCTCTGCACAGGAGGGTAGCAAGACAGATCTGCAGAGTCTGGCCCAGCTCCAGCGCCGGTCCCGTAAGGGGCGGGAGAGCAAATAGGTGCAGGATTTGCAATGGGCGAGGATCCATCCCGGGCGCCCGGAGCGGCCTCAGCCACAGGCCGGGAAGGCTGGAACTGCGGGACAACTCCAGCAGCGGGACCGGCGCCGCCAGCGTAGCCCGGCCTGCAGCGCGGGAGGTGGGAGAGCTGGAGCCCGGGCTAGTCCCCAGTTACCTGCGCGCTCGGCCGCGGCCTGGGAGGTGGGGAGAGGCACATTGCGCACAGCCGGTGCCTGGGCCGCTAGGTCGGTCGGTGGAGCGTTTCCAGGAAGGGTGAGATGAGATTGGACTCATCTGAAAACAAAATCACGTGAATTTAAAAAGTATCGAGCTGCAAAAAATAAAACCCAAACCAAGCCCCCCCACCAGCGCCAGGCAGAAGCGAGATTGTCCCTCTGCTCGGGAAGAGCGAACGGCAGCAAGGAAGCGAGCCCGGCCTGCAGGGAGGGAGCAGGGGTCCCGCGAGGAAGGGTGAAGACCTGGCTTCGATTGTCTATTTTGAGGTGTCTTTGTGCTGGCTGGCTAGGGTCTGCGCCTGTCCAGATTATCCGGCGCTAACGCCGCGGGCTCTGTCCTGACCCGTTGGTTTGGCGCTGCTAATGATGTTTTCGAATAAATGTGAACAATCAGCGCTAACTAGAGATGGCGACAAGCGGCGTTTCCCCTTTGGGGGGTGACTTTGCCGCCCGCGTTACCGAGAACGAGGGAGTGTTTGCGCGGACTCCTGCCCGTCAGCTGCGTTAGGAGGGCCCCGTTTGCACGGCCCTGAGCGGCACCACCCGCCTCTGAGGAACGCTGTTGCGATCCCACAGCTGCCAGGGTAAAAAAGAAGGGCGGAGATTAGCGGGGAAGGCGACAGTCGCTGGCTTGTTAGCACCCCGGCCCTCATGATCCGTCTCTGCTGCGCCACGGGGCGCTGCTCCGGCACGGCCGCTCGCCCCGGGATCTGCAGGGCTGTTGGACCCAAGAGCTTTAATTCGATTCCCCGGGCTCCCGCTTTCGGCACTGGGCCGCTTTGGGTGGCCGGGAGAGCGGGGCCGCCCTGACCAGATCCCTGGGCTGCGCTTGACACAAGACCGAAAGGTGAAATGTCCCTGACCAGGGCAAATGCCCGTTTTGGAATAACTCGTATTGGGGGAGGGGAAGGGGTTTATTTGCCGAGGCTGTGACCCTCCCCCCGGCTTTTCCCCACACGTCTTGCTCTAACGAGTGGCTCGGAGCAGCCCCTTTCTTGCCCCGGTCCTTCCTAGCCGGGCCCACGCGCTCCCCTCCTCGCCCCAGTTTAGTGGCTCGTAGGGTGATTTTTCTCCTGCCTGATTCCGGTCATCCGAAGAAGTGGGCTGTGCCCACGAAAGCTCACGGTCCCATCTGCATGTTCTTAGTCTCGAAAGTGCTACCAGCCCACTGGTTGTTTTTTAAGTGTATTCTGCCCAGACTAACTCGGTTACTCCCTGAAGCTTCTCACTTGTGTGTGTTCGTCCTGCCTGCAATCCGCGGCCCAGGGCCCGTCTCTGGGGGGCGGCAGGCAGCAGCTTCCCCTACCGCCGCTAGGTTGCGAAGTCCCCTCTCTGACCCCCGGCATTCCCTCACAGCTGCCTGCCTCGCCGCGTGTCTGACTCGCGGCCGCACACCCGGCTGGGCAAGCAGGAACCCTTCCCCAGCAGCGTAGCTCGGATCGCTCCCTGCCTGCCGGGGCTGGAAGGAGGCCGCTACCCGGCGTCCGGGTGCTTTGGGAATGGAGGAGGTGCAGGCCGCACGGGTGCAGAGGCGCTGGGCCTGGCCCTGGCAAGCTAATCTGCCAGGCCATTAGTGTAGGGGCTAAACTGCAGCCCCAGCGGGGTCTCTAGCAGGGATCCCGGACCCCGGCGTTAATCCCGTGGAGGCTGCACTGCGGGAGACGGAGGGAAAGA